TTCTTTCCGCTCACACTGTGTATATATATATATATATATATATATATATATATATATATATAGTACGTTTTTGGTCCTTAATATTTTTGTGGAAATCATGATAATTTCTTATATAAAATATATATAATTTTATGACTGCTGAAAATTTAGCTTTGCCATCATAGGAATAAATAATATTTTAAAAACAGAAAACGGTCATTGAAATTGTAATAATATTTCACACTATTATTGTTTATACTGTATGTTTAATCAAAGCCTTGGTGTACCTTGGTGTTTAAAATAATTTTAAAAAATCAATCAAAGCCTTGGTGATCATTTAGACCGGAAAAGACCATGATGCCCCCTTTAAAATACACCAGAGCTTAAAACATAATCCTGTGCATATGTCCTCAAAATGAATTGCTTCCAAATGGCTAAAACTGGGTTGTGTATAATATTTGTTTAATGAATATGAGGTGAAACATTTAGATATGACCTGCTAGATTGAGGTAGTCCCATGAGGCTCCTTTAGGACAGTTCTTCTTGATGTTAATGGCCCATTGGTAATCACTCCAGCGCTCCTTCCACGCCTGCAGGATAGCCTGCTTCAGATTTACCACCTTCATTCTGTCTGTTTCTTAAACTATAGATCAAAATATCAATTAATCAACAGCATAAATTCAGTTTAAAGTCACATCCCAGTGTATGACAGGAGAACGTCAGATACCCGCTCTACTCATAACTAACACACATTTGTCGTATACAGTATATAGTTGACGTGTAAAAATGTGATAACATGCCAATTTATGATTGCTTATTTTTAAAATCCCGCTTACCACAAAATAGTCCAGTTTATGCAGTAAACGAATTAAGTTTTTGTTCATTTACAATTCCCCACACCTCAACGCCGCCATATTGGTCTGTAAGACCGCGTCCTCTGATTGGCCGAAAGTGTCTGTTTACTGCAGCATAGATCCATCCGATTGGGTGATCTGATGTAGCGTCTCTTGATTGGACGGGAGATTGTGTTGCGTTGTGTTTTTGATTTAGAAGAAATGCTGAAATAGTTTTCACTATAACAATTACGTATGTAACATCATAAGTAATACCATGTCTCGACACTACATCATGGTAATACCACGGGTTTCTTTCATTTAAATACATAATCCGTGTTTATGGTAATAATTAATTCATAATAATTGAGTAATTAATTCAGTATCATGGTATAAATCAAAGTAGCATTAAATCAATGCCCCATATACTCCACACACTCTTAAAAATAAAGGTTTCCAAGTCCAGTGCTATTTTGAAAATATAATGGTGTCGTTCTTATTTGTATTCTTAATTATAATAATAATAATAATCTTCATCAATACGAGCTTAAAATAATTATAATAGTTCCGGTTTATCTGAACGATTCCAGTTCCTTTCCATAAATGGTTCATTCTCTATAGTAAAAGTACAAGTGTTCATTTTACGCTTTGAGGAAAAGTACAAAAGTAGTTACTTTTGTCTATTTGATATAAAAAAAAAAATACACATTTTAAGAGTCTGGGCTTGTCTCAGTCTTACAGAAAAGGTAGAGCTAAATCTGACATTATGAATTACTGTTAGCACAGTCGAAATATTTAATAATGAAATATTGCTTTGACCATACCATTGAATCAGTGAGCTGTTAATCGCTGTAATTGGATCATTCAAATTCACATTCACAAATGCATCATCATTCGCTTTGTGAACCAGTTCAACTGAATCGGCTCAGAAGAATTCTGATATTGCTATCTGGTCTTGATGTCCGATGCGAAATGTCTCAGTGGGCGAGGAGGTACAGGAGATCGATGACGGACAAATTATCATTTTTAAGATACACTGGTCGTGCTAAATCATTCTGATTCACTAAAAAGTACTCTTCGGCTCATTCGTTTGGTACTACAGTAGCTACATGCCAGCCCGTAGATTCAGAAGCAGCATCCCGTTGGGTAGAATAAATTGTTGCTCATCCAGGTTCTGCCTAAAGCTGTAAAATCACATTGATTTCTACAGACATTCTACAGTTCCACAACACTCCAGATATTGCTGTCATCCTCGTGCCATAGCCTTCATCCCAGAACACCCCTCAACTAATCTCTCTGTAATGACAGATCTAATGATACATGGGATGGCATATAAATGTCCACATATTCTGATGAATATGAGTTATTATGCTAATTTGTCATTCATTTTGTCAAGTGTAATTCTGTCATCAAGCTGGCTTGAGCCTGGTTTTGAAACGTTTTTAACTTCATGGTCCAGTTGTTATCCATAGGCCTAATCCAGATTATTCAAGCACATCTTGAACTCAATTCTAAATAATATGTCAGAATTGTTCTTTTGTGAATGTTTTCATGACAAATATGCTGACGAAATCTCATTAATGTACAGTAAATTACACAATAATGACACACTTCACCTTTAGACACCTTGCACACATGTTCCTGAATCAGTTTTTTCAGTAAAATATGTAAAATGAACACATTTTGCAAGTCATCTTTATTACTATATCCATCAGTAATACATTGTGAAAGCCAACGCAATGTTTGACATTAATAATAATGGCACCTGCAGCGTATTGTAATTCAGTCTTTCAGAAATGCCATCAAGTGGTCAGTAATTTTTGTCCATCTTCACTGTGTCCATTTTTCCCGCTGTCCCGTTTTCCATGAACGCCATTCTGTCGCTCTGTCCTATCTTTACCAGCAGCAGAAAGCATTTTCTTTTTAAAACTGAAATCTGTGCCACGACTGCTGTCACAGCCATTCTGGAAAAATAAATAAAATAAAAATATAGACAGAATGCTTTAGAGCGACAGTTTTTTTTAACAAGGAGCAAACTATACCTTTGTTGGTCATAGATGTAATGTTTGAAGAAAGACTGCTCAAGCAAACCAACAGGCAACTGTACCAAATGCTTTATTTCAGCATATTCAAACAGCACAGCAGTTTATTTACTGAGCACAAATTGAATATGCAGCACAAACCACCTTTAATATGATTAAGCTAGTGTGAATCTGTTTCAATTCAATATAATATGATTATCTTTCTAGGTGAACGACTCTATGCTGTATAGCAGTGTGCCAGTGCCATCGATCTCCAAATGTTCCTCTCTGCATTTGAGAGGACTGAAACGGCACTTCATGAAAAATCTATATTAATGTTCTGCCTGTATATTAAGATGTTATTGCAAGCAGTTCTGCAACCTACCTTTCTGTCCCTTTTTTGGATTTAGCATTAAATAGCTGCACCCTTAGGTTTATTTATATACACTAAAAGTAAAAGGTTTGGAATAATTAAGATGTTTTAATATTTAAAAAAAAAAGTATTTTATGCTCATCAAGGCTGCATTTATTTGATCAGAAATGCAGTTTAAAAGAACTGTTTTCTGTTTTCATATATTTTATAAAAATGTAATTTATTCCTGTGATTGCAACGCTGAGTTTACTCCAGTCTTGAGTGTAACATGATCCTTCAGAAATCATTCCAATATGCTTATTTGAGCTCAATTAATATGAATTATTATTGGGTCTCTAATGTTAATAGTGGTTTTTATAATTATCAATGTTGAAAACAGATTTTGATGCTTAACTTTTTTTTTGCGGAAACCGTGATGCATTTTTTCAGGATATTTTGATAAATGGAAAGTTCAAAAGAACAGCATTTCTTTGAAAGGGAAATTACTTTCACTTTTGATCAAATGTAACGTGTAACGTGTCCCGAATAAAGGTATTAATGTATAATTGTTTAAATCTTACTGAGCCCAAACTTTTAAATGGTATCATGAATTCCAGAAAAAAATATTAGGTATCATAAACTGTTTTCAAAATGTTTCTTGAGAATCAAATCAGCACATTAGAATGATTTCTGAAGGATCATGTGACACTGAAGACTGGAGTAATGATGCTGAAAATTCAGCTTTGCCATCACATGAATACATTTCTTTAAAATGTATTAAAATAGAAAACAGTTGTTTTAAATTGCAATAATATTTCACAATATTACTGTTTTGATTGTATTTTTGATCAAATGCAGTCTTCATAAGAATACTTCTTTAAGTATGAGATGTAAGAGACTTTAAAAAAATATACAGTATATTATTCCAAACTTTTGTACTTTTAGTAGTGTACTTATTTATGTGTATTAACTATTCAGCATATACATAGCTAAGCCTTATATCTGGATGAATTATTCTATTAAAGGTGTAGCTCAAGTGGATTGACCAAATTTAGACATGACTGGATAGGGCTGCACGATTAATCGAAGAGTGATAAAGGCATTGCATTATAAATATACTTTATTTTAATGAAAATTATAATAATAATAACAATAATAACAACAGATAATAATAACAGATAAACCATATATTGTCATAATCGTGTGTTTATTAGTCACGTTGAATCAATAAAAGCAGTTAAATCTTCTGTTTATCCAGCTACCGCTATAGGCATTTCCTGGGTTTCTTCTGCGAGGCGTATTTGGAGTTTCAGCGCGAGAGCACCCTCTGGCCTTTGGATGGAGATTTACTGCTGATCACAGAACCGTGCTTCAGTGAAAGATACTCATGACAATCGCAGCTTCTGTCGAATCGCGATTTCGATTCCACTTCGATTTATCGTGCAGCCCTACTGGGTAATTTCTACAATATAATTTAACTTATGTTATCTCACCCCATCTGAATGCTCTGGGAGGGTCTGATAGGGTTGTGATGACTCAGTCTTGCAGGGTCTGCAGTCTTCCAGTAAACCCACTGAAGAATCAAAGTCCTCATCAGTACTGGAGCCCTTGAAGAAAGCGGAAAGAGTGATACAGCACTATAATATTCCATTATTGGATGTTTAAAATAAATAATTCATCTCTGTCAAAGAGGCTATTAATTTAATCTGAGAGAATTTATATAGAAATTGCAGTATTTATCATTATTTTCATTCCATTGAAGGGCTCACATCATCTTTTTTTTTCTTGACGTATACTAGCGTTAGTAATTTGCAATTGCCATTTTTTCATGACCCTCTCTCTGGCCCTCATGATTAATCAGGCTACCTTCGTTTTGTGAAATGCTAAATACTGTATACACAGATGCTGTGGGTTTGCTATCGGATTTAACTGCACAGTCCCTCAGTCCTTGAAATGTGCTGTTTAAACTATTAATATCAGAGTGAAAATAAACTTCAGCCGTTCTTTCTAAGATTTTAAGACGTAGAGTGCTGCAGGGATGACATAAAACAATAGGTTGCTGTTCAAAACCCTGGTTCTCTGAAACATCGAGTGGAGAGATCCATCTATGGGAAGGGCATCCATGCCTGACCTCTGAAGAAGCATCCAGTTGCACCAAGTCTGGCTTGATAGGCAGGAGCGTGTGCCCAATAGCAGGTAAGGTAACGCCCCTTAACTGAGCACATAAAACCCCTGCATGAGCTACCTTTCCTTTTTGGCACTTTTCCACTGCGTGGTACGTCTGAACTTGCTTTACTTTGGTAAAGTACAGCTCACTTGGAACCTCAACCGAGGTGGTACTAAAAAAAAAAACAGGTACTAGGTACTGTACACTGTGGAAAACCTCCCCAAAAATGAGTCATATTGAGCTGTACCATGCAGTGGAAAAGCGCCATTGGTGGATCTCTCCACTTAATGTTTCAGAGAACCAGGGTTACGAACAGTAACCTACTGTTCTCTTTCATCATCTCGTGTTCGAGGTCCACCTATGGGAGATATGGACAGCTCCCCGGTTGCCCAGTATGCTCACAATGAGGCCCTGTATGCCAGAGGGGGAGCATCCTCGTCCCGTAGTGACATAACAATATATATTACACAACATTGACACACTTCACCTTTAGACACCTTGCACACATGCTCCTGAATCGAACAGCTGGAAAAGCTCAGAAACGAGCTAGCATTATAGTATTTTTGGTTCCATCATTCTAAAGTCTTTTTTTTTTTTTTTTACAGGTTTTTGGTTAAATGCCTGAAATAAGGTTTGTGGTGAACAGAGGTTCAATATATTTTCACGTTTTATTCTATGGCATAAAATACATCAGTAATACCCCTTTTAGATTTTGAAATCTTTCACTTGTTTTGAAAAAGCCAGTTGCTAATAAGTGGCTAAATGGGATTACAGAGGTTGTTGGGGGACATTAAACAGCATTACACTGAACAGGAAAAATCCTTTTGAAATTTTGTAGAAGGAACCAGGGGCATTCTAACTTCTGGCCTGTAAAAATACATCATCACTGGAGCACTATAGTTTTCCTCATACAACAATAATAGAACCTGTGGACTCTAGATGAGATTAGGTTACCTGGGTGAAAGGACTGGATGGGGACTGGATGTTCTTGGGGGAGCCAGAACCTCTTAATCTTTCACTGAACCAAGAGAAAGGCACAAACGGTGGACCAGAGGAACGTGAGGACCGGTTCTCTGTCCTCTCTGAATCCCTGGATACAAACACACAAAATACCTCACACATCTACATCTATACAGGTATGCAAGGAAACACTAGTGCTTAGATGACTGACAATAGCTGAATAAATGCAGGACAGACACAAAATTACCGATTTCCTGCTGATAGTCTGTTGGATCTGTCTTTCCTGACCTTTCCATATGTGCGACGTAAAGTGACCCTGCCCACAAAAAACAAGCAGATCATCTTTAAAGCCCAACTCTGGCCACTACTACTGCATCTGTATGATGAACAAACTTTGCTCTCACATACATAGACAGTGTTTACAGTTGTCAGAAATTAAACTTGTTGAAATTAAAGTTGTCCCAGCATTTTTAACATTAAAAAACATTTATTATTATTATTTTGTAGTTCGCAACTCATAAGATACTAACCCCAGATCAAGAAAACGTCTCCTGGTTTTCTTGTCCAGAAGCACTGTTGGACTATCAGGTTCATCAGAGCCTGTGTCATGACTGTCGTCTGAAAACAGATCATCAAAACGACCATCAGAATCCAGATCAGACTCTGGGCCCAGCTGTTTGAAACATTTAATATGGATCAGAAAGATCCAGATTTGTCGATCCCATGTTTTGCTATCCAGGATCAGGTAATCTTAATTTTGTGCCGGTTTTTCAAAGCAAAATTGGATTGGATCATCCTAGGACATATTACTAATTTTTCCAGATTACCAAATCTGAATTTCCAGTGCTCTAAATGGGACAACATATCAGTTTTTCAAAAGAAAGTTGATCATATTTTTGATTTGATTAGATCATATCTTGAAAATGGGTTGCTCAACAGAAAAAAAGGATTCTGTAATCAAATTATAAGTATTCTGTAATTGGATTGTAATCAAACTGGATCAAACCTTCAGTATGAGTTGTTCAAAATTTTTTAGAACATTACATTACACACGTATAATGAAATTAGGATAGCTTCCCCCAACATAATTTACATATATCACATAGTGCACATTTAACAAACACATTAGTCCCAATTTAACAATGTTACGTACTTGCACAATAAAGAGTTCGAGTTACGCAAGACTAACTTTCAACAAGCAAGTTGAGAATTATATTGCACACATGTCTATTGCTAAAGTCTCCCTGAAGGGGGGGGGAAAAACTGCATTACAGTAAGATTAACATTCAAGTGAAGAATATATGAGGTCAGTGCATAATGGAGTTCATAATGTTTATGGCTCTAGGAAAGAAAGTGACGAGACTTGTTTTAAAGCATCGGTAGCGCCTGCCTGATGGCAAGAGCTGAAACAAGTAAAAAGCAGGGTGTGTTGAGTCCTTTAGTATATTTTTGACCTTATTGAGGACTTGAGAGTTATATATAGATCATTCAGTGATGGTAAGGGACTGCCAGAGATCCTCTCAGCAGTCTTAATGATCCTTTGAAGCCCCTTCTTATCTGCCTCAGAACAGCTAGCATGCCATACTATAATGCAATACGTCAACACACTCTCAATAGAACAGCGGTAAAAGTTTACCAGCAACTTTCCATTTAGATTGTTCTTCCTAAGAATCCTTAAAGGTCCCATGGCATGTAAATTTCACTTTATGAGGTTTTATTAACATTAATATGAGTTCCCCTAGCCTGCCTATGGTCCCCCAGTGGCTAGAAATGGCGATAGGTGTAAACCGAGCCCTGGGTATCCTGCTTCGCCTTTGAGAAAATGAAAGCTCAGACGGCCCAATCAGGAATCTTCCCTTTATGTCGTCATACGGGGAAAGGTTACCTCCCCTTTCTCTGCTTTGCCCGCCCAGAGAATTTGGCCCGCCCATGAGAAAATGAGCTACTACCGTGAGAGGCGAGCGCAATATTTTTTTCCCTCGAGAGACATCATGGCTTGCAAACGAGCGAAGCATGGCAGTTGCCCCGCCTCTCTCCTCCTCATTAGCATTTAAAGCTACAGACACAAAAATGGCACGTCCTAAGGAAAGCTCATTGTGGGACTGGCTCGTAGTGGCTGAAATTCTGCACCAAGGCTGAATTTCGGGAAATAGACTTCAGATACAGTACTAGGGACCACTTAGGCCTATATAAAAGCATCTAAAAAGCAGCATGTCATGGGACCTTTAAGAAATGTAGACGCTGCCGTGCCTTCTTGATAACCGCTGAAGTATGTGCCTTCCAGGATAGGTCAGCAAAGATGATGGTATCCAGAAATTTGAAGCTTTGGACCCTCTCAACACAGTCCCCATTGATGTATAGAGGGAGCGGATCTATCTTATGCTTTCTGAAGTCTATAATGAGCTCTTTTGTCTTAGAGGTGTTTAAGGTCAGGTTGTTAGCTGAACGCCATGATGTTAGTTGCTGGACCTTATCTCTATAGTCCATCTCATCTCCCCCAGTGATAAGGCTGTTGCCAATCACTGTTGTATCATCCGCAAATTTGATGCTTGTGTTACTGCGATGAACTGTGATACAATCATATGTATAGAGTGAATACAGTAGAGGGCTCAGCACACACCCCTGTGGAGAGCCAATGCTGAGTAAGCGAGTGGAGGAGACATAAGGACCCATCTTCACACCCTGAGAATGGTTTGTCAGGAAGTCCTTAATCCAGTGACAGGTGAGTGTGGGAAGACCTAGGTTTGTCAGTTTACAGACCAGAATGTCCGGGATAATGGTATTAAATGCTAAACTATAATCAATGAACAGCATCCTAACATAATTTCCATGTTTTTCCAGGTGACTCAGTACAGTGTGCAGAGCTAAAGCTATAGCATCTTCAGTAGATCTATTCGGTCTGTAGGCGAACTGATGCTCATCAAAGGTAGAGGGGAGAGTGGCTTTAATATGATACAAGACCAGCCTCTCGAAGCATTTCATGATTACCGTTGTAAGTGCCACTGGGAGGTAGTCATTGAGGCTGATTGGGGATCAAAGATGTTTTGTGGATTGGTATGATGGTAGCTGACGTCAGGCAGCGTGGTATGATGGCTTGTAACAAGGACTGATTGAAGATATTGGTGCAAACCGGTGTCATTTTGTCAGCACATGCCCTGAGTACCTTCCCAGGTACTCTGTCTGGGTCAGTTGCTTTTCTCGGGTTCACTGACCTTTGCACCCTTCTCACCTCATGCTCCTGTAAGGTGAGTGCAGGGGTGTTACCTGCTGCTATAGGCTGAAGTGACGAGACTGTATTTTGCTGGGTTGCCTCAAAAGGTGCAAAGAAGCAGTTCAGCTCCTCCGCCAGTTGGGCAGAGTAATTAGTCCCTACAGTAGTAGCACAGCCCCTGAAATTCGTAATGGTCTGTATGCCCTGCCACATCCGCCTTGAGTCATTTGAAAAACAGACATCATGTGAGGGAGCCAAAAGCCGCTGCGCCCGTGCGCACCGCCATTTTTTTTTATTTACCAGAAAAGGATTATCTGATTCAGGAGAGCAAAAAAAAGGGATTCCCAAATATGAATCATTCTGATCTAGATTACATTTTTAAACAACTGGGCCAGAATTTAGTCCAGATCAGAAGCTCAAAATTAAAATCTACAGTAATCCAGGTCAGAATCAGGATCAGAATAACTATTAGAATCAAAATCATTTCAGAATCATATTCACATTTATTGTACAAGTTAAACTTTTAAGTAACTTGTTGATTTGGTGGTTAGCACATCATATTAAATAATCATAATGTAGTATTACATATGTATTTATACATATACAAATATATCAGGTAAAATGATGCAAGATCTAATGCAGGTCAAACCTTCGCTCTGTGAGTATTCTCCATAGTGTAGAAGGGGTTGGCTGCCCTCACGTGACTTGAGGTGGTCCGTCTGGCAAAGATGGGCTGGGGAAGATGTCTCTGAATGGACGCAGGGTCTGGAGGGAGACTTAGATGGTGTGAGGGGCAATGCCTCTTGAGAGGAGGTGCTCAGGAGGTGCCTGTAGCTCCGTCTTTCATCCTGTGCTTCCCTTTCTCCAACCACAGTGCAAGGGTCAAAGGTGAAGGTTCGGTCTCTCCGTGAGGACGGGGAGGAAAGGAGCAGGTCAGAGGAGGGGGAGGAGCAGCGAAAGGAAGGGTGGATTGGAGAAGAGGAGGTCTGCACGGAGCCACCATAACTCTAGACCACAGACACACACAATGACATATCATATCCCATGAGTCTCACATGGATAAATGTGTATCGGGGTTAACTGAAACTAAAACTAAAACCATAAAAAAAGTTACTTGAAATAAAATAAACATTAACTGAAATCTAATAAAATATATATATAAAAAAATCTTAAACATATTTTATTTCAGCTTGTTGCCAAAGTAACATTTCTCATTTTCATTTAGTTTAACCTGATGTACTCAAATAACTAAAACTAAAACTGAAATATAAAATCTCTATATATACATATTCAAAAAACATATATGACAAAAAGACTACAAAATTACTAAACTTTAACTAAAATTAAAATTAAAACATGAAATATAAAAATTATTCAAAATTATAATAAAAACTATAATTGTTTTTCAGTTATACCAAAATAACACAACTGTAGTGTTTATATTTCAAAATTGCATTTAAAGGAATAGTCTACCTAAAAATGAAAATTCTGTATTAAATACATACGTATGCTGTTATTTTTTTCTTCTTCTGAGGAACACAAAAGGATAATTTAAAAAAATAAAAAATCTTCACAGAGTTTTTTTTTTTTTTTTTGATGATGATGATGACTGTTATCTCCAAAAATGACCACCAAAAAGCACCATGATAGTTCCAATAAAGAGCTTTGGTGGAAGGGAAGATTTTATCATTTTTACAAAATATTTTTATTGGTTTTCTACTGTTCCATTTCAATGTCTTTGCCACTGAAGACTGGAGTAATGGCTGCTAAAAATTAAGGTTTGCCATCACATGAATAAATTACATTAAAAAAAATTTATTTTTAAATTTTATTTTAAATTGTAATAATATTTCATAATTTTACTGTTTTTACTGTATTCTTGCTTATTTATAGTGCTTATAATGACGTCAGTCCATTCTTTTCTTACCTATAGGGCACTAAGTGAGTCAGGACTGGTACTCCATCAAAAAAAAAAAATTATTGATGATGTTCCTTTTAACAACATGAGTTTGGAATAACACAAGGGTGAGTCAATAACATGACACATGACAGAATTGTCCTTTTTGAGTGAACTACTCATTCAATCAGATGCATGAAATCTACAGCATACACACACACACCATTCTATCAGTGCTGTCATCTCCATCTATCGAGCTCACGCTGTCTCTCAGGCGGGTTCGGGAGGGTCGATGCCTCCTGGTTTTGATTGACAGTTGTGCTTTGGCTTTCTGTAGGCTGCTGTCAAGTCGTTCGGTCTCTGGAACTGCCTCCGTCAGATCTAATGTGGTATAAAACACATAGGCGTATATGTTTACTCCCTGAGTTCTTTTGATATTGAGCATTTGGAGGCAAACATGCACTCTCAGAAAAAAAGATACAAAAGCTGTCACTGGGGTGGTACCTTTTCAAAAGGCACACCTTTGTACCTAAACAGTCCATATTGGTACCTTAAAGGTATATATTAGTACCTAAAGTGTACATATTAGTACCTAAAAGGTACACAAGTGTACCTTTTGAAAAGGTACTGCCCCATTGACAGCTTTTTTCTGAGGGTGTGTAGACCAAGATGCACAAACTAACACCACAGATATGATGAAAATGCTGCACTGCTGCACTGCTCTCAACACACACTCATGCACACATTAGTGTGCTCGTTACAATCGAGTGACACCGTAAAGCAGGCCTGAAGCTCTATTAAGCTGTCAACAGCCTAGATTACTTACATGAATGATGGGTAGCCGTTCCTCATGTACACCCTGGGTGTGTGTGTGTGTGTGTGTGTGTGTGAGGGTCAGTCAAACAGGAAGTACACAAACACACTAACAAATACACTAAAGTGAAAGAATGGCACTGTGAAGTGCGTAGATGTGTGCAAAATACAAACTTAGAGCTACAGACCAATGAGAATTTCATGAGTTTTCCTATTTCGATATTTTGTTTTTAGAGTGAGGTAGTGAATTGCACAATTCTACATGATTGTATTCATGAATATACATTTGTTGTGATTTAAATGGCTCTGTGAAACCTATAATTAATAAATAAATAATTAAATAATACAAAATACATACATACAGCTCTGGAACAGGACCAGCTGGATGGCAAAAACAGTGTTAGTAGTACCAGTAATTGGAATCAAATAATAACTATTGATCATGCCAAAAGAGTTGAAAAGAAAAGTTGTGAGTGAGGACAAGAAGGATTCAAATCTGGCTTTCCTGGCAGAGGGATACAGTGAGCATCAGGCTGCTTCCATCGTTGCTGCTTCCAAAAGACAGAGGTTCATAAGAACAAGGTCAAGCTGCAGAGATTGGGGACAACAAAGCTACAGACCGGCAGAGTGAGGACGGTTCGAAACAGGCTCCTACGGGCAGGGCTGAAGTCAAAGTGCAAAGCTAGAAAAGAAGACATCAATGAGAAGCAAAGAAGAGCCAGGCTGAGGTTTGCAAAAGACCATAAGGACCTTCTCTGATGAGTCCAGTTTTCAGCTTTACCCAACACCTGGTCATCTAAAGGTTAGACGGAGACCTGGAGAGGCCTACGAGTCACAGTGTCTCACACCCACTGTGGAATTTGGTGGAGGACCGGTGATGATCTGGGGGTGCTTCAGCAAGGCTGGAATTGGGCACATTCGTCTTTGTGAAGGGTGCATGAATCAAGCTAAAGTTGTCCTGGAAGAAAACTTGCTTACTTCTGCTCTGACAATGTTCTCCAACTCTGATGATTGTTTTTTTTGTTTTTTCCCAGCAGGACAATGCTCCATGCCACACAGCCAGGTCAATCAAGGTGTGAATGGAGGACAACCAGATCAAGACCCTGTCAGCCCAATCTCCAGACCTGAACCCCATTGAAAACCTTTGGAATGTGATCAAGAGGAAGATGGATGGTCACAAGCCATCAAACATCAAACAATAGCAAAGTCCAAATTATTATGCTGTGGTCAAATTCAGCAGTTTTTATCAGGGACTTTTGTGTATTTATTTGAATTCTATACTGTATTGTTTTAAAAAGTAATATTGTAACGTGTAGCGGAAATGTACTTTAAAAAAAAAAAGAATTTTTTTTTTTTTATAAACATTTGGTCAGTACTATGACACTTTGTTGTCACATGACATCACTGTTCGTCACATGACCTCATCACAATGAATTTTTAATTACAAGTGGTGATTAAGGCAGTAAAAGCAGCCAAAAGCAGTCATATTACGTTACATCAACTAAGAGCACAGCATTGTGGGATATGACATTACATGTCTCTGATCTCTGATGATTGTTTTTTTTGTTTTTTCCCAGCAGGACAATGCTCCATGCCACACAGCCAGGTCAATCAAGGTGTGAATGGAGGACAACCAGATCAAGACCCTGTCAGCCCAATCTCCAGACCTGAACCCCATTGAAAACCTTTGGAATGTGATCAAGAGGAAGATGGATGGTCACAAGCCATCAAACATCAAACAATAGCAAAGTCCAAATTATTATGCTGTGGTCAAATTCAGCAGTTTTTATCAGGGACTTTTGTGTATTTATTTGAATTCTATACTGTATTGTTTTAAAAAGTAATATTGTAACGTGTAGCGGAAATGTACTTTAAAAAAAAGAAAAAAAATTTTTTTATAAACATTTGGTCAGTACTATGACACTTTGTTGTCACATGACATCACTGTTCGTCACATGACCTCATCACAATGAATTTTTAATTACAAGTGGTGATTAAGGCAGTAAAAGCAGCCAAAAGCAGTCATATTACGTTACATCAACTGAGAGCACAGCATTGTGGGATATGACATTACATGTCTCTGAAAAAATAGTACAAAAGCTGTCATTGGGGTGGTACCCTTTCAAAAGGTACATAGTTACTACTATGCACCCTTTGGGGTAAATAATGTACCTTTTGAAAGGGTACTACCCTAGTTGTTTTGTACCACCATTTTTTTTGAGCATATGCTTTGTTGTACAGTGCATATTTTGGGAAACGCAAATAATCCAAATATTTCACGCCTACAGAAAATGTGCATACTATGCATAGCACACATACTATGTATAGACCTTAGTCAGTTTAGATACAATATTGAATTTAATGCAGATGAAAATGAGGCTGTGAGGGATAGACTTAAAGTCTTTACAATGGCCATCAGCACACATTATTTTAACCTATTTTTAAAGTAATCACGTTTAACAGCTGAATCGGTGGTGAAAAACTACATTACCCATGATGCTATACAGAGAAATTACACAGTCATGCACAAAAAATTCTGTACAGTTGTGGCAAGAAAATCAAAGCAAAAAAGTTTGCAGGGAACACCCACTCCCATGCAGCACTGCAAATTATGTAATCGAGTCGGTCTCGCTATGTTGTCAAAACACTTAAAAAATTAAAATAAAAACAATAAACAATGCAATAAACTTTAATGTAATCAACGACTATAAATTAATAGTTTTATATTTCTTCATCATTTTTGATTTATGTCATTCGCAATGCTTGGATTGTAGTTAATTCCCTCACTAACGCGTTAAAGGAATAGTTTACCCCAAAATTGTAATTATGTTATCATTTACTCACCCTCATGTTGTTCCAAAACTGCATGATTATTTATTTTTTCATTTTTCTGCTGAACACAAAAGAAGATATTTGAAAAATGTTAGTAACCAAACAGTTGACAGTAGTCACTGACTTCCATATATTTTTTTTCCCCATACTATGGAAATCAATGGCTACCGTCAACTGTTTGGTCATTCTTCAAAATATCTTATTTTGTGTTCAGCAGAAGAAATGTCTCATATGAGAAACTCATACAGGTTTGCAACAAAGTGAGGGTGAGTAAATGATGACAGAATTATAATTTTTTTTTGTTTTTTTTTGGTGAACTATCCCTGTAAGTACACATAATATTGTACCTTGTAACATTTTCAAATACTTATTTGCTTCAAATGAAGTATGTAATGTTGTGATACACCTCATAGCTGGTTGGCCTGGTTCATGGCTTATAACACTTGAACAAAGACTTTTTTAAAAACCCAATGTGAAAAATGAACGAAAAAAAAAAAACTTATGGAATCAACGACACAGAAAAAGCTTGTGTGCACTAATGCACTCTTATGTTGTAAGTGTATTTACTTGTCTCATTAGTGTTTAGTGCAGTTGTCATTGCTAGGAAACGCTTGTTTTGTTTACTGTGTGGAGATGTGCTGATATCGCGTTTGGTCTCATTCTGTATTGCGTATCTTGTCAGTGTTTGCGCTTGCTTGGCCATTTGTTGTTGAAAAAAATAAGGAAAGTGTGTCCAGCTGAATTAATTTAGTATTTTGTTAGACGGGTATAAAAAAGCTTAGTTTACCACGACCGCCGTCGCATGAAGAACGAAGAGTGTAAAGACCATCGACTCTACCGGGCAGGACACCGGCAAAGGATAGATAAGTATCGCTTTTTATTTCTCCTATTTCCTATTACTTGTTTCACTTCTGTTTCAGTTTTAATAACCATTTCTTACTATGTGTAAGTAAGTTGTTGTTTTTTAGCATGTGTGTTTGGCAGTGTTATTTTTTAGGTTTACTGATAAACTACCACTACTGTCATTTGATTTGTATTATTTGTATTTGTTCTTTATTTTTAATTTTAGTTACATTATGTCTGTATAGGCCTTTTATTAAGTTTTTAGTTTCTATTTAATTTGAGTTATTTAATACTTCATCAAACTACATGGAAATTAAATAATATAAATATTGAATTTATAAAAGTGTATGTAATAATACAGTATATATGTATGTGTGTATGGTTGTATATACACATATGTACAGTAGTTGTTTATTGGTGTTTATTTTTTTGTTTTTCATTTAAATGTTAAGTTTTGAAATTTTGTTGTATGCATTTGTCATTTTTTTTTAATCTCTTTATTTTTAAAATGTGTATAGGTAGTATTTATAAAGTTTTAGCTTTTAGTTTTGGATCTGTTTTAGTTGTTTTAATACTACAATTGATTGCTTCTGTTGTCCTCATTTGTAAGTCGCTTTGGATAAAAGTGTCTAATAAATTACTAAATAAATAAATGTTGTAGGCTGCTTATTGGGTCTGGGGGAGTGGGAACATGCTCATAAACATTCTGTATTTTTAGGCTCTGTCACACGGTACTCTATTCCATAGCCAAAATCTTTCTTCTCCCAACTTGTTTTCAGATCTCAGCACTAACTCCTGTGGTTAGACACTGACTCCGCATGCTGCAACTTCAAACCCTGTACAAAAATCCTGTGAAGCCAAACACTTCAATGTGAACTGTAAAATTACACAAAATGTCCAATTAGATCTATTAGTATTTTTTTTTTTTTTTACCAAATAACTTACCGTTAACCAATTAACAGGTTTTTACTGCAGCATTTTTACAGTGATGGAATAGCGAGTAGAAAGAGGGATTGTGATTAGGAGAGGTGGTTGAAAAAGGTTCACCTCCCCTGTGGTTGTGTTTAAACACCTGACCCATTAACCAGGCCTCTTCTACACTGTCAAAAAAAAAGGTACAAAAGCTGTTACTTTCGTGCTTTATTTACCTAAAAGGTGCATATTAGTACCTTTTGAAATGATTCTGCCCCAGAGACAGTTTTTGGACCTTTTTTGGGCTAAACAGTCACTAAATACAGAATAAACACAAGACAGGACTACAATTTTATAGCAAACACCTAACTTTTTTGGTTCTTATTAAGAAATCATGTAATCTGACTGTCTAGGCAACTGACTGTATTCCTATAAGGGCCTCACTTTCACAAGTCATCTCACTGTGATGGGGATACGAAGCTAATGGCCACCCCCCCCCCCCCACACACACATATTATCTCATCTATAAGAATTAGGGGGGGTAGGGCTGCTAAGTAGCTGACAGGCAGGGAAAGGCAATAGAAAACAAATCAATATGGAGATGGGAGGGGACTCATCTGACCTGTGTGCACATACCAGCAAATAAAAGCTTACTTTCACTGCAGGGATAAAACAATAAAAATGGTACATATTCATCAACATTTCCTTGGCTACGCAGAGATGTATAACCTTGTATTTAATACACACAATGCCTGATCACGAAAAACGTGTAAAAAAATTATTTAAAGCAAGCATTAATATAGCTCACCTCTGCTATAAGAGCTGCAGATGACAATCAGAGGTAAATCATGCATATTTAATTTAGAAAAACGGATGGAAGGGGGGCAGGATGGAAGAGAAAAGCTAGATAAACAGACTCACCTCTATGTAGTTGAGTATCCCACAGCAAAGCTCAGCTCCTGGGATGGGCTGATCATACTGCTCCTCTGGCCTGCTCACGGGATGCTGCTGGAGGACTTCTGTTTCTGGATGAGCACAAATTTACAACGTCATTGGGCTACTCTGCCTGTACACACTCACACACACATAGTTCTCAGCAACAGAATGTCAGACACTGCTGTACACACCCAAGAACAGTGATGAAATGAAGGATGCTGAGAGAGAGCGAGAGAGAGAGAGAGAGAGAGAGAGAGCGAGAGAGAGAGAGAGAGAGAGAGAGAGAGAGAGAGAGAGAGAGAGAGAGAGAGAGAAGAGAGAGAGAGCGAGAGAGAGAGAGAGAGAGAGAGAGAGAATGGGGAGGGAGGTAGAGGCACATGTGCATCATGAATCAA